AACATTATGATAATAGTGATGATGGTATCGTAACGTCGCATTATATTGTTTGCCTTATTATTATGACGTGGGGTTTTCATCGATAATCATACATCAACAGTTATTATGTCACAATGATTACAATTATTTTCGTTGTGGTTGTTATTAAAGTGAGCACTGCATGAAGACGATCTGACTCTTGCTGATGATGTTGGTGGTGGTGATGGTGGTGATGGTGGTGGTGGTGATCGTGGTGATGGTGGTGATGGTGGTGGTGGTGATGGTAGTGGTGGTGGTGGTAGTGATGATGGTAGTGGTGGTGATGGTGGTGATGGTGATGGTAGTGGTGATGATGGTGGTGATGATGGTGTTGATCGTTGTGATGGTGGTGATGATGGTGGTGATGGTAGGGGTGGTGATGGTGGTGATGGTAGTGGTGGTGGTAGTGATGGTGGTGATGATGGTAGTGGTGATGGTGGTGGTAGTGGTGATGGTGGTGGTGATGGTAGTGGTGATGGTGGTGGTGGTGATGGTGGTGGGGGTGATGGTGGTGGTGGTGGTGATGGTGTTGATGATGTTGATGGTGTTGATCGTGGTGATGGTGGTGATGGTGGTGGTGATGGTAGGGGTGGTGGTGATCGTAGGGGTGGTGGTGATGGTAGGGGTGGTGGTGATGGTAATGGTGGTGATGATGATGGTGATGGTAGGGGTGGTGATGGTGGTGATGGTGATAGTAGTGGTGGTAGTGATAGTAGTGATGATGGTAGTGGTGATGGTGGTGGTGGTGGTGATGGTGGTGGTGATGGTGGTGGTAGTGGTGGTAATGGTGGTAGTGGTGGTAATGGTGGTAGTGGTGGTAATGGTGATGGTGGTGGTAGTGATGGTGGCGGGGGTGATGGTAGTGGGGGTGGTGGTGGTGATGGTGGTGGTGATGATGATGGTGGTGGTGATGGTGGTGGTGGTGATGATGGTGGTGGTGGTGATGATGGTGTTGATCGTGGTGATGGTGGTGGTGATGATGGTGGTGGTGATGGTAGGGGTGGTGATGGTAGGGGTGGTGATGGTGATGATGGTGATAGTGGTGATGATGGTGGTGATGGTGTCCGGCAAAACAACCCCCTACCTCCTAAGTGCCGGACGGCAACGTTGTGGTGGCCATTGCCGTGGGGGGGAGGGCAAATTCCGATTGGCCATTCCCCTCATGGCGTTTGTAACCACCACAACGGCCAAGTGGGGCTCTGGACGGGTGCGAGGGGCTGGTAACCCCTCCACCTTCAATTAACCACTAAACCACGATTTAAATAACTTATTAAGCTTGTGCCGGAGGCCCCGGGGGAACAGGCTTCTATGACGTCTCCTGGCCAAACCCCATTTGGAGATTTAATCCTTACCCTCGGGGCTCCTCCAGAAACAGCAAAAAGCCACCGCGGGTGGCCACGTGGAATATTCGAACGCTCACTGCGGAGGAGAAGCTGCCATTCCTCTGTCGGGAGCTGGACCGGTACCGCCTGGGTCTCTGTGGCATTCAGGAGGTCCGGTGGACCGGCTCTGGCTCCTGCCACCATGAGGGGTGGGCATTCCTCTACTCGGGGCAGCAGACTGCCAAACAACAGGGAGTGGCTCTTCTTCTGAACAAAACAATGAAGGGTGCGTGAGGTGTGGGAAGCTGTAAGCCCCAGGCTACTTTGGGCTCGCCTTCCCATCAACCGGAGGTGAGGAGTGGTGGTCGTGGTTACTTATGCCCCCACGGAAGACGAACATCCGTGGAGGGATGCTGGCAATGCCCGTGAGTCAGATGCCCAGGTGCTGGCTAAAGTGGCCCCTCGGGTTAGTGGGGATGACCCTGCTGAGGCTACCGTGCCTCAATTTGGAGGAAGAAGTCAACCCCTGTGAGTGGCTGGCTGAGGTGCCATCTGTTGAGGAAGTACTGAAGGCGACCCGGAGTCTGAGACCAGGAAAGGCACCGGGCAGAGATGATCTCCCAAGCGAAATGCTGAGGGAGGGTGGCGTTTGTGCACAGACTGCCCTACATGACATCATAACAAGTCTGGACCACTGGACGGGTTCCGCAGGATTGGAAGGATGCCCTGGTGGTCCCCCTCTGTAAGAAGGGGGACCACACAGACTGTAACAACTACAGGGGCATTTCACTCCTCAGTGTGCCGGGAAAGGTCCTGGCAAGGATTATTCAACATCGCCTTGCCAGGCACGCTGAGGAGAGGCTTGCGGAGCCCCAATGCGGTTTCAGGAAAGGGCGGTCCTGCACAGATGCCATATTTTCTGTCCGTTTGCTACAGCAGAGGTGTATTGAATTCCAACAACGATCATTAAGGACCTTCATGATGATTAGCGGGCCTGGGTAAAACTACGTGGCCGGGAGTCGGAGCCATTCTGTCCACCTCGATTGCTGTACCAGAGGAATTTCCATCTGGTATAGATACAATAGGAGGCTGATCGATGCCCGGGTGCGGTCAAGGGATGGCTCCCTATTGGTCAACCACGTTATGTATGCCGATGACCTGGTAATTTCTGCTCACTCAGAGGAAGAGTTGGAGGTGCTGCTGCTGAACCTGGAGCTTGCCACTCAGAGGTGGGGCCTTACCATCAGCCCCACAAAAACTAAGCACCTGCCTGGGTATTTTGTACAATCGGACACTCCACCCCCACAACTCACAATTGGTGATGGGGCAAACGTGGAGAGTGGAGAGTTTCCCATACCAAGGCAGTGTGCTCATGACCGGCTCCGGTTTGACAGCAGAGGTCTCACTCCGAATCAGTCGAGCGGCAATATCTTTTCATCGGTTGCGTAACGCTGTGTGGAAGCTACCTGGTCTGTTGCTCCACATGAAGCTTCAGGTTTTCTCGGCCACAATCATGCCCTCCCTTCTCTACGCTTGCGAAACATGGACCCCCCGAATGGAACATCTTCGCCGGTTAGAAACATTCAGGCTGGCCTGCCTACGATCCATCCTCAGTTTAAGCAGCAGGCTGGATTGTGAGGAGCTCACTAATCCTTGAAAGATCTGGGCACGGACCCATCAGTGAGCTCCTCTGGCAGGCAAGGCTGCGTTGGCTGGGTCATGTAGCCCGAATTCCCAGCCACCACATGCCGAAATAGCTTTTGTTGGGCCGGATCTAGGGGCAAAATGGGCACGGCACGGGCTAGACAAGAGATGGAGTGATGTGGTACAGGAGGACGTGGAGCTGAGTGGACTTGCCGATGACTGGTACCAGCGGTGTCAAGATCGGCCTCTGTGGAGGAGGCTCGTGAAGGACGCTACTGGGCAGTTGGAGGCAGTCGCCCTCCAACAACAACGGAGGGCGGAGGAGCGACGCTCACAACGAGCGGAGCGCCGGGTGGCTAAAGCACAGCAGGTTGGCACAGTAGGGGGCACAGGTGGTGCATCAGCCAGCCATCTCAGTCAGTCGACCCGTGGCACCTGCTGGGCCTGCCCCGTGACCTCCTGCCAGCAGGCGTTCGACACTTCACGTGGCCTCAAGGTGCACATGGCCTGGCACAAGCGTCGTGGTGACGTCACCACCACTTAGTGGCGAATGGCGGTTGTTATTAGCAGTGATGATGGTGGAAGCGATGATGGTGCCACTCACCCATCACTCCCATCTCATCGCTTCTCTAGACCATGCCATACACCCACCCACTCATCCACCCACCCACCCACTCATCCACACACCCACTCACGAGACACCGGGGAGCCCAACGTCGTACAAACGCTCAACTTTAATAAATAAACAGTCCACATCCATGAGCACCGCGGCACACACACACACACACTGACACACACTGACACACACACGCACTGACACACACACGCACACGCACTGACACACACGCACAGACACACACACACACTCTGACACACACACACTCTGACACACACACACACACACTCTGACACACACACACTCTGACACACACACACTCTGACACACACACTGACACACACACACTCTGACACACACATTGCCCTTGATTTAACCATCAGGTGGGAACCACCAACCCCCATTGAGATTCGCGGCTGACTTACGCCCAACAGTGCAACCAGCACCCCATCACGCACCTGCACAACGGTCCAACACCACAGCAGAACTACAAACAACACTCCGTGTCTCCCTCCCCGTGTCTCTGTCTCTCCCCGTGTCTCTCTCTCTCCCCGTGTCTCTCTCTCTCCCCGTGTCTCTCTCTCTCCCCGTGTCTCTCTCTCTCTCCCTCCCCGTGTCTCTCTCTCTCTCCCTCCCCGTGTCTCTCTCTCTCCCCGTGTCTCTCTCTCTCCCCGTGTCTCTCTCTCCCCATGTCTCTCTCTCTCTCCCTCCCCGTGTCTCTGTCTCTCCCCGTGTCTCTCTCTCCCCGCGTCTCTCCCCGTGTCTCTCTCTCCCCGCGTCTCTCCCCCGTGTCTCTCTCTCTCTCCGTGTCTCTCTCTCCCCGCGTCTCTCTCCCCGCGTCTCTCCCCCGTGTCTCTCTCCCTCCCCGTGTCTCTCTCTCCCTCCCCGTGTCTCTCTCCCTCCCCGTGTCTCTCTCTCCCTCCCCGTGTCTCTCTCTCCCCCCGTGTCTCTCTCTCCCCGCGTCTCTCCCCCGTGTCTCTCTCCCTCCCCGTGTCTCTCTCCCTCCCCGTGTCTCTCTCCCTCCCCGTGTCTCTCTCCCTCCCCGTGTCTCTCTCTCCCCCCGTGTCTCTCTCTCCCCGCGTCTCTCTCCCCGCGTCTCTCCCCCGTGTCTCTCTCTCTCCCCGTGTCTCTCTCTCCCCCCGTGTCTCTCTCTCCCCGCGTCTCTCTCCCCGTGTCTCTCCTCCGCGTCTCTCCCCACCACCACGTGTGCCGCTACGTTGGCGTGCCGTGGTTTGCCGCGATCACCGTCGCCACCGTCGCCACGGCCACCGCCGTCGCCACGGCCACCGCCGTCGCCACGGCCACCGCGGTCGCCACGGTCACCGTCGCCACAGTCACCGTCGCCACGGTCACCGTCGCCACGGTCACCGTCGCCACGGTCACCGCGGTCGCCACGGTCGCTAGGCGGCCGCGTAGCACCGCGCGTCGTACCGCGGCGACTCGGGCGGCGACTCCCCCCCCGCCGCGGCGACGGCCGTCGCCGTGGCGACGGCCGTCGCCGCGGCGGGGGGGTGGTCGCCACGGCGACGACGGCCGCCGCCGCCGTTGCCGTGGTAGGGGGCGCGGAGCGCCCTCCTCTCCCGGCGCCTCTGCAGCAGCAGGCGCACGGCCTGCAGCTTGCTGCGCGTCGTCGCGTTCACCGCAGACTCCTCCAGCTGCTGCTGCTGCTGCTCCTGGTGGTGGTGGTGCTGCTGGTGGTGGTGACAGTGGTGCTGAGGATGTTGAGGATGCTGAGGATGTTGATGTTGAGGATGCTGAGGATGCTGAGGATGTTGATGTTGAGAATGTTGAGGATGTTGAGGATGTTGTTGAGGATGTTGTTGAGGATGTTGTTGAGGATGTTGATGCTGGGGGAGCCCACGGCAGCCTGGAGGATAGAGGCAGGGGGTGGGGGGGGGAACGTTAGAGGGGTGGGGTGGGGGGGGTTGCGGGGGAGGGGTGGGGGGGGAAGGGTGGAGGGGGAGGGGTGGGGGGGGGCAGCCCCTCCTCTCACCTCCCACAATGCCGTGCGTCTCCGCTGCCCTGCTCCCGTCCCACGCCGGGGTCGCCTTGCTGGAGGCCCTCGGGGTCCGGGCGTCGTCGCTGTGGTGGCTGCTGTTGTTGTTGTTGTTGTGACCTCTGTTGTTGTGACCGCTGTTGTTGTTGTTGTTGTGGCTGCGCTGGGCCCGCGAGGCCGCCAGGAGGTCGAGGAGGATGCGGTAGACGACGGCCACCTCCTCCTGCCGGGGGACGCCGCCGCCGCCGCCGCCGCCTCGCCGGTGACCGCACGTGGAGGGCGGCAGTGACCCTGGGGGGTGGGGGCGGGGCACAGCAACGTTGGGGCCGTGTGCAACACAGCAACGTTGGGGCCGTGTGCAACACAGCGGTGGGGCCGTGTGCAACACAGCGGTGGGGCCGTGTGCAACACAGCAACGTTGGGGCCGTGTGCAACACAGCGGTGGGGCCGTGTGCAACACAGCGGTGGGGCCGTGTGCAACACAGCAGTGGGGCCGTGTGCAACACGGCGGTGGGGCCGTGTGCAACACGCAGTGGGGCCGTGTGCAACACGCAGTGGGGCCGTGTGCAACACGCAGTGGGGCCGTGTGCAACACGCAGTGGGGCCGTGTGCAACACAGCGGTGGGGCCGTGTGCAACACAGCGGTGGGGCCGTGTGCAACACCCAGTGGGGCTGTGTGCAACACCCAGTGGGGACGTGTGCAACACCCAGTGGGGCCGTGTGCAACACCCAGTGGGGACGTGTGCAACAACAGGCCTGGCTGTCACTCTACCCCACAAGCTCCGCCTCCACTCTCCCCCCCCCTCCACTCTCTCCCCCCCCCCCCCCACTCTCCCCTCTCTGCCCCTACCTGAGAAAATGCCGGAGAAGCATCCAGGGTAGAGTTGGTGGAGACTATCCAAGCTGGCGCCAGAGCACGTGGCCTGTGGGAGAGACACGGTGAGAGAGAGACACGGTGAGAGAGAGACACGGGAAGAGAGAGAGAGACACGGGGAGAGAGAGAGAGACAGAGACACGGGGAGAGAGAGAGAGACAGAGACACGGTGAGAGAGAGAGACACGGTGAGAGAGAGAGACAGAGACACGGTGAGAGAGAGAGACAGAGACACGGTGAGAGAGAGAGACAGAGACACGGTGAGAGAGAGAGACAGAGACACAGGGAGAGAGAGAGACAGAGACACGGCGAGAGAGACACGGTGAGAGAGACACGGTGAGAGAGACACGGTGAGAGAGACACGGTGAGACAGATAGAGAGAGACACGGTGAGATAGACACGGTGAGAAAGACACAGTGAGAGAGATACGACAGAGAGACAGTGAGAGACACGGTGTGTGTGTGATAGAGACACGGTGTGTGTATGTGTGTGATAGAGACAGAGACACGGTGTGTGTGTGTGTGTGTGATAGAGACACGGTGTGTGTGTGTGTGAGAGATAGAGACACGGTGTGTGTGTGTGTGAGAGATAGAGACACGGTGTGTGTGTGTGTGTGATAGAGACACGGTGTGTGTGTGTGTGATAGAGACACGGTGTGTGTGTGTGTGATAGAGACACGGTGTGTGTGTGTGTGAGAGATAGAGACACGGTGTGTGTGTGTGTGATAGAGACACGGTGTGTGTGTGTGTGTGATAGAGACACGGTGTGTGTGTGTGTGTGATAGACACGGTGTGTGTGTGTGATAGAGACACGGTGTGTGTATGTGTGTGTGATAGAGACACGGTGTGTGTGTGTGTGATAGAGACACGGTGTGTGTGTGTGTGATAGAGACACGGTGTGTGTGTGAGAGAGATAGAGACACGGTGTGTGTGTGTGTGTGATAGAGACACGGTGTGTGTATGTGTGTGTGTGATAGAGACACGGTGTGTGTGTGTGATAGAGACACGGTGTGTGTGTGTGTGTGTGATAGAGACACGGTGTGTGTGTGTGTGTGATAGAGACACGGTGTGTGTGTGAGAGAGATAGAGACACGGTGTGTGTGTGTGTGATAGAGACACGGTGTGTGTGTGTGAGAGAGACACGGTGGGTGTGTGTGTGTGTGTGTGTGAGATAGAGACACGGTGTGTGTGTGTGTGTGATAGAGACACGGTGTGTGTATGTGTGTGTGTGATAGAGACACGGTGTGTGTGTGTGATAGAGACACGGTGTGTGTGTGTGTGTGTGATAGAGACACGGTGTGTGTGTGTGTGTGATAGAGACACGGTGTGTGTGTGTGTGTGATAGAGACACGGTGTGTGTGTGTGTGTGATAGAGACACGGTGTGTGTGTGTGTGTGATAGAGACACGGTGTGTGTGTGTGTGATAGAGACACGGTGTGTGTGTGTGATAGAGACACGGTGTGTGTGTGTGTGTGTGATAGAGACACGGTGTGTGTGTGTGTCTGTGTGAGACACGGTGTGTGTGTGTGTGTGTGAGAGATAGAGACACGGTGTGTGTGTGTGATAGAGACACGGTGTGTGTGTGTGTGTGTGATAGAGACACGGTGTGTGTGTGTGAGAGATAGAGACACTGTGTGTGTGTGTGATAGAGACACGGTGTGTGTGTGTGTGAGATAGAGACACGGTGTGTGTGTGTGTGAGAGATAGAGACACGGTGTGTGTGTGTGTGAGATAGAGACACGGTGTGTGTGTGTGTGATAGAGACACAGTGTGTGTGTGTGTGTGATAGAGACACGGTGTGTGTGTGTGTGTGATAGAGACACGGTGTGTGTGTGTGTGATAGAGACACGGTGTGTGTGTGTGTGATAGAGACACGGTGTGTGTGTGTGTGATAGAGACACGGTGTGTGTGTGTGTGTGTGATAGAGACACGGTGTGTGTGTGTGTGTGTGATAGAGACAAGGTGTGTGTGTGTGTGAGATAGAGACACGGTGTGTGTGTGTGTGTGAGATAGAGACACGGTGTGTGTGTGTGTGTGATAGAGACACGGTGTGTGTGTGATAGAGACACGGTGTGTGTGTGTGTGTGTGAGAGACACGGTGTGTGTGTGTGTGTGTGATAGAGACACGGTGTGTGTGTGTGATAGAGACACTGTGTGTGTGTGTGTGATAGAGACACGGTGTGTGTGTGTGTGTGATAGAGACACGGTGTGTGTGTGATAGAGACACGGTGTGTGTGTGTGATAGAGACACGGTGTGTGTGTGTGTGATAGAGACACGGTGTGTGTGTGTGTGATAGAGACACGGTGTGTGTGTGTGTGTGTGATAGAGACACGGTGTGTGTGTGTGAGAGATAGAGACACGGTGTGTGTGTGTGTGATAGAGACACGGTGTGTGTGTGTGTGTGTGTGAGAGACAGAGACACGGTGTGTGTGTGTGTGTGTGTGATAGAGACACGGTGTGTGTGTGTGTGTGAGAGACAGAGACACGGTGTGTGTGTGTGTGAGAGACAGAGACACGGTGTGTGTGTGTGATAGAGACACGGTGTGTGTGTGTGTGTGATAGAGACACGGTGTGTGTGTGTGTCTGTGTGAGACACGGTGTGTGTGTGTGTGTGTGAGAGATAGAGACACGGTGTGTGTGTGTGTGATAGAGACACGGTGTGTGTGTGTGTGTGTGATAGAGACACGGTGTGTGTGTGTGAGAGATAGAGACACGGTGTGTGTGATAGAGACACGGTGTGTGTGTGTGTGTGAGATAGAGACACGGTGTGTGTGTGTGAGAGATAGAGACACGGTGTGTGTGTGATAGAGACACGGTGTGTGTGTGTGTGATAGAGACACGGTGTGTGTGTGTGTGTGATAGAGACACGGTGTGTGTGTGTGTGTGTGATAGAGACACGGTGTGTGTGTGTGTGATAGAGACACGGTGTGTGTGTGTGTGTGTGAGAGACACGGTGTGTGTGTGTGTGTGTGATAGAGACACGGTGTGTGTGTGTGTGTGTGATAGAGACACGGTGTGTGTGTGTGTGTGTGATAGAGACACGGTGTGTGTGTGTGTGATAGAGACATGGTGTGTGTGTGTGTGTGATAGAGACACGGTGTGTGTGTGTGAGAGATAGAGACACGGTGTGTGTGTGTGTGTGATAGAGACACGGTGTGTGTGTGTGTGATAGAGACACGGTGTGTGTGTGTGTGAGATAGAGACACGGTGTGTGTGTGTGAGAGATAGAGACACGGTGTGTGTGTGATAGAGACACGGTGTGTGTGTGTGTGAGAGAGACACGGTGTGTGTGTGTGTGTGTGAGAGAGACACGGTGTGTGTGTGTGTGATAGAGACACGGTGTGTGTGTGTGTGAGAGAGACACGGTGTGTGTGTGTGTGACAGAGACACGGTGTGTGTGTGTGTGTGAGATAGAGACACGGTGTGTGTGTGATAGAGACACGGTGTGTGTGTGTGTGATAGAGACACGGTGTGTGTGTGTGAGAGATAGAGACACGGTGTGTGTGTGTGTGTGATAGAGACACGGTGTGTGTGTGTGTGATAGAGACACGGTGTGTGTGTGTGAGAGATAGAGACACGGTGTGTGTGTGTGTGTGATAGAGACACGGTGTGTGTGTGTGTGATAGAGACACGGTGTGTGTGTGTGAGAGATAGAGACACGGTGTGTGTGTGATAGAGACACGGTGTGTGTGTGTGTGTGAGAGAGACACGGTGTGTGTGTGTGTGTGAGAGAGACACGGTGTGTGTGTGTGATAGAGACACGGTGTGTGTGTGTGTGTGATAGAGACACGGTGTGTGTGTGTGTGAGAGATAGAGACACGGTGTGTGTGTGTGTGTGTGAGAGAGACACGGTGTGTGTGTGTGTGTGTGAGAGATAGAGACACGGTGTGTGTGTGTGTGTGATAGAGACACGGTGTGTGTGTGTGTGATAGAGACACGGTGTGTGTGTGTGTGAGAGAGAGACACGGTGTGTGTGTGTGTGAGAGAGAGACACGGTGTGTGTGTGTGTGAGAGAGAGACACGGTGTGTGTGTGTGTGATAGAGACACGGTGTGTGTGTGTGTGATAGAGACACGGTGTGTGTGTGTGTGTGATAGAGACACGGTGTGTGTGTGTGTGTCTGTGTCAACAGCACTTGCCCCGGGGAGAGCTTCGTCTCCCTGTCGTTTGTCCCGCCCCCTCCCCCCCTCTCACCTGCGTCGCTTCCTCCGAAGTCACGTGACCTCCCCCGCGGCGACTTCCCTCGTGACCTCCCCCGCGGCGACCTCCCCGGGTTGGCCGGGCTGCGAGTTGCAGCTGCACGAAGCTGAGGGAGCCGGCCAGGGTGGTGAGGGTGAGGGTGAGCGGTGAGCGCCCGCACAGGAAGTCGCTCACCTGGTGAGGTGGGGAGAGCGGGGGGGGGGGGGGGGAGAGGGGCGGAGAGATGAGGGCCGAGTTGGTCATTGGGTCGGGAGTCTCTCCGTGTCTGCGTCTACCTGCCAGGAGTCTTATCTGGCGAAACAACCCCCCCCCCCTCCTCCTCCTCCCCCTCCTCGTCGGTGCCGGAGAGTAACGCTGTCGTGGGCACAGTGCAACTTAGATCGGCCATTCCCCTCGTTGGCGTTTGTAGCGATCACAGCGGCCGAACGGGGGGCCTCTGGACGGGTCCGAGGGGCTGGTGACCCCTTCCCAACCTTCCAAACACCACGATGCCACAGAAGAAAATATTTAACGAAGCTTGTGCCCGAGGCCCCGGGGGGGTGGGGGCACAGGGCGTCTGTGACGTCTCCTGGACAAACCCCAATTGGCGGAGCCAGGAGACTGAATCCCGTTAACCCTTGGGGCTCCTCCAGAAAGAGCGAAAAGCTGCTTCGTTGTGGCCACGTGGAATGTTCGAACGCTCACTGTGGAGGAGAGGCTGCCCACTCCTCTGTCGGGAGCCGGACCGGTACCGCCTGGATCTATGCGGCATTCAGGAGGTCCGGTGGACCGGCTCTGGCTCATGCCACCATGAGGGGTGGACAGTCCTCTACTCGGGGCAGCAGACTGCCAAACAACGGGGTGTGGCTCTTCTTTTGAACAAAAGAATGAAAGGGGCCTGGGAGCGTGGCGGTGAGGTGTTGGAAGCTGTAAAGCCCCAGGCTACTTTGGGCTCGCCTTCCCATCAACCGGAGGCGAGGAGTGGTTGTCGTGGTTACTTATGCACCCACCGAAGACGAACATCTGTGGAGGGATGCAGGCAAAGCCGATGAGTCAGATGCCTTCTATGACCTGTCACAGGTGCTGGCTAAAGTGGCCCCTCGGGATAGAGTCATCTTGTTGGGTGACTAATGCCGAGTTGGTCATGATGCTGGCACCTGGTCTGGAGTGATTGGAAGGCATGGGCCAGATCAGCTCAATAACAACGGTAGGAGGCTGCTAGATTTTTGTGCAGCCCATGGGCTTGTAATTACCAACACGCTGTTCCGGCATCGGCGCATCCACACAACATCATGGATGCATGCCGGGCCCAAGCAAGAACATCTGCTGGACTACATAGTGATGGACCAGCGGATGCGAGCCCATGTCCTTGACACCAGGACCTACCGTGGAGCTGATCTGCCCACTGACCATCGACTTGTCATCTGTAAGATGCGCCTGCAACTCTTCCACTCCGGTGGTGGGTGTACAACCCAGGACCCCATTCCAATTAAAGGTGGCCTGGTCTCAGTTATCTGATGAAAGTTGCAAGCGAGAATTTCATCATCGCTTGCAGCTGGGGTTGGCATCGTCCCCCACTCCTCCGGATGTCAAGGTTAAATGGGCGAGGTTTAAGATTGTGACTCATGCAGCTGCAATGGCTGCCTTGGGTACACGGTCCAGTCCTCTCCAGAGACCCTGGCTGAAAGGAGGTGTTCAAGCTGGCTGAGACAAAGCGACAGGCCCACTCTCATCATCTACAGCATCCCACGTCAGAGAATTTGGAGGCTTACCGAAGCCTTCATTCAAAGGTTCGGAGAGCCGTGAGGCGCTGCAAGGATGGGTGGTGGTCGCGGGTTGCTGAGGAGATGGAATATGCCTCAATGGCGCGCGATCACAAATCTCTATTTAATTCCATCAAAAAAGTAACCTGCAGCGCCACACCTATTACCATCATTAGGGGAAAGATCGGTGATCCAATCTCCGACCCCCAGGAACAGGTTTGCAGATTTGCTGAGCATTTCTGTTAAGTCCTGGGGGAGGGGAAATCCCTCGGCCTGGAAAACATCGTGGCACAAAGTGGGGATGACCCTGCTGAGGCTGCGGTGCCTCACCCTGTGTGAGTGGCTGGCTGAGGTGTCATCTGTTGAGGAAGTACTGAAGGCGATCCGGAGTCTGAGTTCAGGAAAGGCACCGGGCAGAGATGATCTCCCAAGCGAAGTGCTGAGGGAGGGTGGCATTTGTCCACAGACTGCCCTACATGACATCATAACAGTCTGGACCACTGGATGGGTTCCTGTACCACATCACTCCATCTCTGCTCTAGCCTGTGCCGCGCCCGTTTAGCCCCCTCGATCCGGCCGAACAAAAGCTGTTTGGACATGCGGTGGCTGGGCATGCGGGCTACGTGACCCAGCCAACGCAGCCTTGCCTGCCGGAGGAGCTCACCGATGGGACTTTGTCCAGATCTTTCGAGGATTTGTGAGCTCCTCACACAATCCAGCCCGGTTAAACCCAGGATGGATCGTAAGCAGGCCAGCCTAAATGTTTCTAACCGGCGAAGATGTTCCATTAAGGGGGTCCATGTTTCGCAAGCGGAGGGAAGGTAGGGCATGACCGTGGCCGAGAAGACCTGAAGCTTAGTGCGGAGCGACAGACCAGGTAGCTTCCACACAGCGTTACGCAACTGATGAAAAGATATTGCCGCTCGACTGATTCGGAGTGAGACCTCTGCTGTCAAACCGGAGCCGGTCATGATTGTACCTTCATGATTGTGAGCGGGCCCGGGTAAAACTACGTGGCCAGGAGTCAGAGTCATTCCCTGTACACCTTGGGGTGCGACAGGGATGTCCTCTGGCTCCCTCTCACATTATTTAACATCTATTTCGACCACTTAGTTCAGGGAAGCCTTCTGTACCAGAGGAATTTCCATCTGGTACAGATACAATGGGAGGCTGATCGATGCCCGGGTGCGGTCAAGGGACGGCTCCCTATTGGCTCAACCATGTTACGTATGCCAATGATCTGGTAATTGCTGCTCACTCAGAGGAGGAGTTGGAGGTGCTGCTGCTAAACCTGGAGCTTGCCACCAAGTGGTGGGACCTTACCATCAGCCCCACCAAAACTAAGCACCTGCCTGGGTATTTTGTACAATCATGACCGGCTCCGGTTTGACAGCAGAGGTCTCACTCCGAATCAGTCGAGCGGCAATATCTTTTCATCGGTTGCGTAACGCTGTGTGGAAGCTACCTGGTCTGTCGTTCCGCACTAAGCTTCAGGTCTTCTCGGCCACGGTCATTCCCTCCCTTCTCTACGCTTGCGAAACGTGGACCCCCCTAATGGAACATCTTCGCCGGTTAGAAACATTTAGGCTGGCCTGCCTACAATCCATCCTGGGTTTAACCGGGCTGGATTGTGTGAGGAGCTCACAAATCCTCGAAAGATCTGGACAAAGTCCCATCGGTAAGCTCCTCCGGCAGGCAAGGCTGCGTTGGCTGGGTCACGTAGCCCGCATGCCCAGCCACCGCATGCCCAAACAGCTTTTGTTCGGCTGGATCGAGGGGGCTAAACGGGCGCGGCACAGGCTAGAGCAGAGATGGAGTGATGTGGTACAGGAGGACGTGGAGCTGAGTGTACTTGCCAATGACTGGTACCAGCGGTGTCAAGATCGGCCTCTGTGGAGGAGGCTCGTGAAGGACGCTACTGGGCAGTTGGAGGCAGTCGCCCTCCAACAACAACGGAGGGTGGAGGAGCGGCGCTCACAACAACGAGCGGAGCGCCGGGTGGCTAAAGCACAGCAGGTTGGCACATTAAGGGGGCAACAGGTGGTGCATCAGCCAGTCATCTCAGTCAGTCGACCCGTGGCACCTGGGTCTGCCCAGGTGACCTCCTGCCAGCGGGCATTCGACACTTCACGTGGCCTCAAGGTGCACATGGCCTGGCACAAGCGTCGTGGTGACGTCACCACCACTTAGTGGCGAATGGCGGTTGTTGTTGTCTATCTGTGAGTGCGTCTCTCTCTCTCCCCGTGTCTCTCTCTTTCCCCGTGTCTCTCTCTCTCTCCCCGTGTCTCTCTCTCTCTCTCTCCCCATGTCTCTCTCTCCCCATGTCTCTCTCTCTCCCCGTGTCTCTCTCTCCCCGTGTCTCTCTCTCCCCGTGTCTCTCTCTCCCCGTGTCTCTCTCTCCCCGTGTCTCTCTCTCTCCCCGTGTCTCTCTCTCTCCCCGTGTCTCTCTCTCTCTCTCTCTGTGTGTCTCTCTCTCTCCCCGTGTCTCTCTCTCTCTCCCCGTGTCTCTCTCTCTCTCCCCGTGTCTCTCTCTCCCCGTGTCTCTCTCTCCCCGTGTCTCTCTCTTCCCGTGTCTCTCTCTCCCCGTGTCTCTCTCTCTCTCCCCGTGTCTCTCTCTCTCCCCGTGTCTCTCTCTCTCCCCATGTCTCTCTCTCTCCCCGTGTCTCTCTCTCCCCCCGTGTCTCTCTCTCCAATTCCTCACCTGACTGTCTGTGAGTGATTGCAGTGCCTGCATAATGGAGTTCTCAGCCTTCGGACGAGCAGCCTGTGACACACACACAGACACACACACAGACAGAGACACACACAGACAGACACACACAGAGACACACAACATTAGTCCACGTACCAACACGAAAAGACAAAGCTCCCCCGTGTAGCCTCTAGCAGGCTGTAGGGGCAAGTGCTGTTAGCAGTAGCGAGTAGCAGCAGCAGCGCCTATGAAGGCTACCGGCACTGAGACACACAGGGAGTGGGTGGCCAGCACCACCACAACCACCACCACAACCACCACTACGCCCGGCCGCCTTTGTCTCTCTCCCCCTCCCCCCCCCCCACTGCTGCTGATACAGGCAACAATCTGGGTAGATGAGTGAGTAGGTGAGTGAATGAGGGAGTGGGTGAGTAGGTGAGTGAGTGGGTGAGTAGGTGAGTGAGTGGGTGAGTAGGTGAGTGAGTGGGTAAGTAGGTGAGTGGGTGGGTGAGTAGGTGAGTGGGCGGGTGAGTAGGTGAGTGGGTGAGTTGGTGAGTGGGTGTGTTGGTGATTGGGTGTGTTGGTGAGTGGGTGTGTTGGTGAGTAGGTGTGTTGGTGAGTGGGTGTGTTGGTGAGTGGGTGTGTTAGTGAGTGGGGTGAGTGGGTGTGTTAGTGAGTGGGTTGAGTAGGTGAGTGGGTGTGTTGATGAGTGGGTGTGTTGGTGAGTGGGTGTGTTGGTGAGTGGGTGAGTAGGTGAGTGAGTGGGTGTGTTGGTGAGTGGGTGTGTTAGTGAGTGGGCGTGTTGGTGAGTGGGCGTGTTAGTGAGTGGGCGTGTTAGTGAGTGGGCGTGTTAGTGAGTGGGCGTGTTAATGAGTGGGCGAGTGGGGGGGCGAGTGGGCGAGTGGGGGCGCGAGTGGGCGAGTGGGGGGGCGAGTGGGCGAGTGGGGGGGCGAGTGGGCGAGTGATTGAGTGAGTGGGTTAGTGGATGGGTGAGTGGTGAGTGGGTGCGTGGGTGAGTGGGTGAGTGAGTGGGTAAGTGAGTGGGTGGGCGAGTGAGTGGGCTGGTGAGTGAGCAAGTGGGTTAGTGGGTGGGTGAGTGAGTGAGTGGGTAAGTGAGTGGGTGGGTGCGTGGGTGAGTGAGTGAGTGGGTGGGTGAGTGGTGAGTGGGTGGGTGGGTGAGTGGGTGGGTGAGTGAGTGAGTGGGTAAGTGAGTGGGTGGGTGAGTGGGTGAGTGAGTGGGTGGGTGAGTGGGTAAGTGAATGGGTGGGTGGGTGGGTGAGTGAGTGAGTCTCACCTTGAGCCCAGAGTTCAGCGCTGGTACCACAGTGAGTGTTGAGCCGTTCCTTAGCCCAGCCTCGTGGACAGATCTCCTCCCATCCAGCAGCCTGCACCACCATCACCACCATCATCATCATCACAAACACCATCATCGTCACAAACACCATCATCGTCACAAACACCATCATCGTCACAAACACCATCATCATCATCATCACCCACTCACCCACCCGCTCACCCACCCGCTCACCCACCCGCTCACTCACCCGCTCACCCACCCGCTCACTCACCCGCTCACTCACCCGCTCACTCACCCGCTCACTCACCCGCTCACCCACTCACTCACTCGCTCACCCACCCACTCACCCACCCATTCACCCACCCACTCACCCACCCACTCACTCACCCACCCACTCACTCACCCACCCACTCACCCACCGACCCACCCACTCACCCACCGACCCACCCACTCACCCACCCACCCACTCACCCACCCACCCACTCACCCACCCACCCACTCACCCACTCACCCACCCACCCACCCACCCACTCACCCACCCACCCACCCACTCACCCACCCACCCACCCACCCACTCACCCACCCACCCACTCACCCACCCACCCACCCACCCACTCACCCACTCACCCACCCACCCACCCACCCACTCACCCACCCACCCACCCACTCACCCACCCACTCACTCACTCACCCACCCACCCACTCACCCACCCACCCACCCACCCACTCACCCACCCACCCACTCACCCACTCACCCACCCACCCACTCACCCACTCACCCACACACCCACCCACCCACTCACCCACCCACCCACTCACCCACCCACCCACCGACCCACCCACCCACCCACCCACTCACCCACCCACCCACTCACCCACCCACTCACCCACCCACCCACCCACTCACCCACCCACTCACCCACCCACCCACCCACTCACCCACCCACTCACCCACCCACTCACCCACCCACCCACTCACCCACTCACCCACCGACCCACCCACTCACCCACCCACCCACTCACCCACCCACCCACCCACCCACCCACTCACCTACTCACCCACCCACCCACCCACCCACACACCCACCCACCCACCCACTCACCCACCCACCCACCCACCCACTCACCCACCCACCCACCCACTCACCCACCCACCCACCCACCCACCCACTCACCCACCCACCCACCCACTCATCCACCCACCCACCCACCCACTCACCCACCCACCCACCTCGTCCGATCCAGCAGTAAGTGGAAGTCCGTGCTGCCGCTTGCGTGAGGACGCTGCAGCGCCCTCGCCACCCTGGCCCTGAGCCCCGCCACCGACTCGCCCGGCTCCACCATCAGCAAGACGCGGCCACCATCACCACCACCACCACCCTCACCACCACCACGAGCAGCCAGCGTCGACTCTAGGAACACTCGGAGGGGGCTGAGGGGTCTGTGGGAGGGGCAAATGGGGTGTGGGCGGGGCGAATGGGGTGTGGGCGTGGCAAAACGGGGTGTGGGCGGGGGTAAAAGGGGATGGGGCGGGGCAAAGTGGATGGGGGCGGGGCAAAGGGGATGGGGGCCGGGCAAAGGGGATGGGGACGGAGCAAAGGGGGTGGGGGTGTGACAAAAATGGGTTATGGGCGGGGCAAAAGGGTTGGGGTGGGCCAAAGGGGTGGGGGCGTGGCAAAACGGGGTGTGGGCGTGGCAAAACGGGGTGTGGGCGGGGCAAAAGGGGATGGGGCGAGGCAAAGGGGATGGGGGCGGGGTAAAGGGGGGGGGCAGGGTTAAGTCGTGGACATACACGGACAAAAGCTGTGTGGTACACCTCAGACAAAGGTTGTGTGGTACAGCTTGGACAGAAGCTCCGGCCACACAGACAGAAGCTGTTGCACACTCTCAATCAGAAGCTGCGGCCACACAGACAGAAGCTGTTGCACACCTCAATCAGAAGCTGCGGCCACACAGACAGAAGCTGTTGCACACCTCAATCAGAAGCTCCGGCCGCACAGACAAAAGCTGTTGCACACTCTCAATCAGAAGCTCCGGCCATACAGACAGAAGCTGCGGCCAAACAGACAGAAGCTGTTGCACACCTCAATCAGAAGCTGCGGCCACAGACAGAAGCTGTTGCACACTCTCAATCAGAAGCTCCGGCCACAGACAGAAGCTGCGGCCACAGACAGAAGCTCTGGCCACAGACAAGCTGCGGCCACGCAGACAAGCTGCGGCCACGCAGACAGAAGCTGTTGCACACTCTCAATCAGAAGCTCTGGCCACAGACAGAAGCTCTGGCCACACAGACAGAAGCTGCGGCCACACAGAAAGAGGCTCTGGCCACAGACAGAAGCTGCGGCCACATAGACAAAAGCTGTAGAAACCACGCAGATAAAAGCTCTGGGTCACACAGACAGAAGCTGTAGCACTCAGACAGAAGCTGCGGCCAGACAGACAGAAGCTGTAGCAACCACGCAGACAAGGGTCGTTGGCCGTGCAGACAGAAGCTCACGTCTGCGCGTTGCTCTCGTCGCCGTTTTCAGCTACTCCGCTCGACCCGTCCAGGTCCATGGCCTCCTCCGTAAGGGCCCTGCTGATGGATTCAGTCAGAGATCTCAGTCAGTGTGTGTCAGCTATGTGTAAAGGCTCTATGTGTGTGTCAGCTCTGTGTGTGTGTCAGCTATGTGTAGAGGCTGTGTGTGTGTCAGCTCTCTGTGTGTGTGTCAGCTATGTGTGTGTGTCAGCTATGTGTGTGTGTGTCAGCTATGTGTAAAGGCTCCTATGTGTGTGTCAGCTCTGTGTGTGTGTCAGCTATGTGTAGAGGCTGTGTGTGTCAGCTCTCTGTGTGTGTGTCAGCTATGTGTGTGTGTCAGCTATGTGTGTGTGTGACAGCTATGTGTAGAGGCTGTGTGTGTGTCAGCTGTGTGTGTGTGTGTCAGCTATGTGTAGAGGCTCTGTGTGTGTGTCAGCTATGTGTGTGTGTGTCAGCTATGTGTGTGTGTCAGCTATGTGTAGAGGCTCTGTGTGTGTCAGCTATGTGTGTTTGTCAGCTGTGTATAATAGAGGCTGTGTGTGTCAGCTATGTGTGTGTGTCAGCTTATGTGTGTCAGCTATGTGTGTGTGTGTCAGCTATGTGTAGAGGCTCTGTGTGTGTGTGTCAGCTATGTGTGTGTGTCAGCTATGTGTGACAGCTATGTGTGTGTGTGTGTGTCAGCTATGTGTAGAGGCTCTGTGCGTCAGCTATGTGTGTTTGTCAGCTGTGTATAATATAGGCTGTGTGTGTGTGTCAGCTATGTGTGTGTGTCAGCTGTGTGTGTCTCAGCTATGTGTGTGTGTGACAGCTATGTGTAGAGGCTGTGTGTGTGTGTCAGCTATGTGTGTGTGTCAGCTATGTGTGTGTGTGACAGCTATGTGTAGAGGCTGTGTGTGTGTCAGCTATGTGTGTGTGTCAGCTATGTGTGTGTGTCAGCTATGTGTAGAGGCTGTGTGTGTGTGTCAGCTATGTGTGTGTGTCAGCTATGTGTGTGTGTCAGCTGTGTGTGTGTGACAGCTATGTGTAGAGGCTGTGTGTGACAGCTATGTGTGTGTGTCAGCTGTGTGTGTGTGACAGCTATGTGTAGAGGCTGTGTGTGACAGCTATGTGTGTGTGTCAGCTATGTGTAGAGGCTGTGTGTGTGTGACAGCTATGTGTGTGTGTGTCAGCTATGTGTAGAGGCTGTGTGTGTGTGACAGCTATGTGTGTGTGTGTGTCAGCTATGTGTAGAGGCTGTGTGTGTGTGTCAGCTATGTGTGTGTGTGTCAGCTATGTGTAGAGGCTCTGTGTGTGTGTGTGTCAGCTATGTGTAGAGGCTCTGTGTGTGTCAGCTATGTGTGTTTGTCAGCTATGTGTGTGTGTGTCAGATATGTGTAGAGGCTGTGTGTGTGAGACAGCTATGTGTGTGTTGTCAGCTATGTGTGTGTGTGTCAGCTATGTGTAGAGGCTCTGTGTGTGTGTCAGCTATGTGTGTGTGTCAGCTATGTGTAGAGGCTCTGTGTGTCAGCTATTGTGTGTGTGTCAAGCTGTGTATAATAGAGGCTGTGGTGTGTGTCAGCTATGTGTGTGTGTCAGCTATGTGTGTGTGTCAGCTATGTGTAGAGGCTCTGTGTGTGTCAGCTATGTGTTTGTCAGCTGTGTATAATAGAGGCTGTGTGTGTGTCAGCTATGTGTGTGTGTCAGCTATGTGTGTGTGTCAGCTGTGTGTGTGTGTGTGTCAGCTGTGTGTGTGTGTGTCAGCTATGTGTAGAGGCTGTGTGAGTGAGACAGCTATGTGTGTGTGTGTTGTCAGCTATGTGTGTGTGCGTCAGCTATGTATAATAGAGGCTGTGTGTGTCAGCTATGTGTGTGTCAGCTTATGTGTGTGTCAGCTTATGTGTGTGTCAGCTTATGTGTGTGTCAGCTTATGTGTGTGTCAGCTTATGTGTGTGTCAGCTATGTGTGTGTGTCAGCTATGTGTAGAGGCTCTGTGTGTGTCAGCTATTGTGTGTGTGTCAGCTGTGTATAATAGAGGCTCTGTGTGTGTCAGCTATTGTGTGTGTGTCAGCTGTGTATAATAGAGGCTGTGTGTGTCAGCTATGTGTGTGTGTCAGCTATGTGTAGAGGCTCTGTGTGTGTGTCAGCTATGTGTGTGTCAGCTATGTGTAGAGGCTGTGTGTGTGACAGCTATGTGTGTGTGTCAGCTATGTGTGTGTCAGCTATGTGTTAGAGGCTGTGTGTGTGTCAGCTATGTGTGTGTGTCAGCTATGTGTAGAGGCTGTGTGTGTGTGTGAGACAGCTATGTGTGTGTTGTCAGCTATGTGTGTGTGTGTCAGCTATGTGTGTGTGTCAGCTATGTGTGTGTGTCAGCTATGTGTGTGTGTCAGCTATGTGTGTGTATCAGTTATGTGTAGAGGCTGTGTCAGCTGTGTGTGTGTGTCAGCTATGTGTAGAGGCTGTGTGTGTGTCAGCTATGTGTGTGTCAGCTGTGTGTGTCAGCTATGTGTAGAGGCTGTGTGTGTGTCAGCTATGTGTGTGTGTCAGCTATGTGTGTGTGTCAGCTGTGTGTCAGCTATGTGTAGAGGCTGTGTGTGTGAGCTATGTACAGGCTGTGTGTGTGTGAGCTATGTACAGGCTGTGTGTGAGCTATGTACAGGCTGTATGTGTGTGAGCTATGTACAGGCTGTATGTGTGTGTTAGCTATGTACAGGCTGTGTGTGTGTTAGCTATGTACAGGCTGTGTGTTAGCTATGTACAGGCTGTGTGTGTGAGCTATGTACAGGCTGTGTGTGTTAGCTATGTACAGGCTGTGTGTGTTAGCTATGTACAGGCTGTGTGTGTGAGCTATGTACAGGCTGTGTGTGTGTGAGCTATGTACAGGCTGTATGTGTGTGAGCTATGTACAGGCTGTGTGTTAGCTATGTACAGGCTGTGTGTGTGTGAGCTATGTACAGGCTGTGTGTTAGCTATGTACAGGCTGTGTGTGTGTGGAGCTATGTACAGGCTGTGTGTGTGAGCTATGTACAGGCTGTGTGTGTTAGCTATGTACAGGCTGTGTGTGTTAGCTATGTACAGGCTGTGTGTGTGAGCTATGTACAGGCTGTGTGTGTTAGCTATGTACCTGAGCAGGCTGTTCTGACGTGGTGTATATCCACACTCCGTGTACTTCCGCAGGCTATGTACACACTTGCAGGCGATGTACCAGGCTATGTACCAGGCTATGTACACACTGCAGGGCGATGTACCAGGCTATGTACACACTGCAGGGCTATGTACCAGGCTATGTACACACTGCAGGCTATGTACCAGGCTATGTACACACTGCAGGCTATGTACCAGGCTGTGTACCAGGCTATGTACACACTGCAGGCTATGTACCAGGCTATGTACACACTGCAGGCTATGTACACACTGCAGGCTATGTACCAGGCTATGTACACACTGCAGGCTATGTACCAGGCTGTGTACCAGGCTATGTACACACTGCAGGCTATGTACCAGGCTATGTACACACTGCAGGCTATGTACACACTGCAGGCTATGTACACACTGCAGGCTATGTACCAGGCTATGTACACACTGCAGGCTATGTACCAGGCTATGTACACACTGCAGGCTATGTACCAGGCTATGTACACACTTGGAGGCTATGTATCTAACAAGCTATGTACACACTGCAGGCACGTGACTTCTCGGCAACACGTGACTCTCCACCAGGCGATCCCCGCCTCCTCTGGAGCCGCAACTGCCCACGCGCTCCACTTTTATAGTCGCCGCCTCCGGGGGGGGGTGGTAGGGGGGAGCTTCCGGTGACGTAAACCGAGGGGCTCGGCCAATCAGGAGCCGGGATTGGGGCGTGGCGGGGAGGGGCGTTCTCATTCCAGCGGTGTTGCCGGGGCAACGCCGCGGTGGGTGGGGGGGGGCAACGTTCGAGAGGGCGGGGTCACTAGGGGAGAGCGGGGATGGGAGTGCGTGTCACGTGTCTGCGTGTGTGTGTCTGTGTGTGTGTCTGTGTGTGTCTCTGTGTGTGTCTGTGTGGGGAGCGATAGTGTAGCGGTTAGCGCGCTGCGCTATGAACCTGGCGACCCGGGTTCGATTCCCGCTCACGGCCAACACCAGTGACGATTATCTGAACCGGTCCCGGGCCTCCCCTAGGTCGACTCAGCCTCAAATGAGTACCTGGTGCGGTGTGTAAACATTGCCACTAGGGAGACAAAGGCGGTCGGGCGTGGTGCTGGCCACCCACCCCCTCGTGTACCGTTCCGGCCTTCATAGGTGCTCGCTAACAGCACTTGCCCCTACAGTCTGTTAAGGCTATATGGGGGATCTTTGTCTTTGTCTTTTTGTCTCTGTGTGTAGGTGTGTGTGACTCTGTGTGTGTGTCCGGCAAAACAACCCCCTACCTCCTCGCGGTGCCGGACGGGCAACTCTGTCGTGGACAGTGCTGTGGGGGGAGTTCCAATTTTGATTGGCTCCTCCCCTCATGGCATATGTGTCCACCACAGGGGCTAAACGGGGGCTCTGGACGGGTGCGAGGGGCTGGTAACCCCTCCACCTTCAATTAATTACCACAAAACCACGAATTAAAGTGAAATATGTAACAACTAAGCTTGTGCCGGAGGCCCCGGGGGGCCAGGCGTCTATGACGTCTCCTGGCCAAACCCCAATTGGCGGAGCCAGGAGATTGAATACCTACCCTCGGGGCTACTCCAGAAACAACGAAAAGCCACTACGGGTGGCCACGTGGAATGTTCGAACGCTCACTGCAGAGGAGAGGCTGCCACTCCTCTGTCGGGAGCTGGACCGGTACCGCCTGGATCTATGCGGCATTCAGGAGGTCCGGTGGACCGGCTCTGGCTCCTGCCACCATGAGGGGTGGACAGTCCTCTACTCGGGGCAGCAGACTGCCAAACAACAGGGTGTGGGTCTTCTTTTGAACAAAAGAATGAAGGGGGCGTGGGAGCGTGGCGGTGAGGTGTGGGAAGCTGTAAGCCCCAGGCTACTTTGGGCTCGCCTTCCCATCAACCGGAGGCGAGGAATGGTGGTCGTGGTTACTTATGCCCCCACCGAAGATGAACATCCGTGGAGGGATGCAGGCAAAGCCGATGAGTCAGATGCCTTCTATGACCTCCTTTCACAGGTGCTGGCTAAAGTGGCCCCTCGGGATAGAGTCATCATGTTGGGTGACTTCAATGCCCGAGTTGGTCATGATACTGGCACCTGGTCTGGAGTGATTGGAGGGCATGGGCCAGATCAGCTCAATAACAACGGTAGGAGGCTGCTAGATTTTTGTGCAGCCCATGGGCTTGTAATTACCAACACGCTGTTCCGGCATCGGCGCATCCACACAACATCATGGATGCATGCCGGGTCCAAGCAAGAACATCTGCTGGACTACATAGTGACGGACCAGCGAATGCGAGCCCATGTCCTTGACACCAGGACCTACCGTGGAGCTGATCTGCCCTCTGACCATCGACTAGTCATCTGTAAGATGCGCCTGCCATTCTTCCACTCCGGTGGTGGGTGTACACCCAGGACCCCATTCCAACCTAAAGTGGCCTGGTCTCAGTTATCTGATGAAAGTTGCAAGCGAGAATTTCATCATCGCTTGCAGCTGGGATTGGCATCGTCCCCGACTCCTCCTGATGTCGAGGGTAAATGGGCGAGGTTTAGGACTGTGACTCATGCAGCTGCAATGGCTGCTTTGGGTACGCGGTCCAGACCTCCCCAGACACCCTGGATGACAGAGGAGTTGTTCAGGATGGTTGAGAAAAAAGCGACAGGCCCACTGTCATCGGCTACAGAATCCCACGTCAGAGAATGAGGAGGCTTACCGCAGCCTTCGCTCGGAGGTTCGGAGAGCCGTGAGGCGCTGCAAGGATGGGTGGTGGTCGCGGGTTGCTGAGGAGATGGAGTCTGCCTCAGTGGCCCGTGATCACAAATCGCTATTTAACTCCATCAAAAAAGTAACCTGCAGCACCACACCTATTACCATCATTAGGGGAAAAAACGGTGATCCAATTTCCGACCCCCAGGAACAGGTTCGCAGATTTGCTGAGCATTTCTGTGAGGTCCTGGGGGAGGGAAAATCCCACAGCCAGGAAAACATCGTGGCACAAAGTGAGGATGACCCTGCTGAGGCTGCGGTGCCTCAAATATTGGATGAAGTCACCCCCTGTGAGTGGCTGGCTGAGGTGCCATCTGCTGAGGAAGTATTGAAGGCGATACGGCGTCTGAGACCAGGAAAGGCAGCGGGCAGAGATGATCTCCCAAGCGAAATGCTGAGGGAGGGTGGCGTTTGTGCACAGACTGCCCTATATGACATCATAACAACAGTCTGGACCACTGGACGGGTTCCGCAGGATTGGAAGGATGCCCTGGTGGTCCCCCTTTTTAAGAAGGGGGACCGCACAGACTGTAACAACTACAGGGGCATCTCACTCCTCAGTGTGCCGGGAAAGGTCCTGGCAAGGATTATTCAGCATCGCCTTGCCAGGCACGCTGAGGAGAGGCTTGCGGAGCCCCAATGCGGTTTCAGGAAAGGGCGGTCCTGCACGGATGCCATATTTTCTGTCCGTCTGCTACAGCAGAGGTGTAGGGAATTCCAACAAGACCTGCATCTCTGCTTTATTGACCTGGTCAAGGCCTATGATACCATCAGTAGGCCTGGGCTCTGGGTCGTTCTTCGTGCTTTTGGAGTACCTGACCCTCTGCTCACGATCATTAAGGACCTTCATGATGGTGAGCGGGCCCGGGTAAAACTACGTGGCCGGGAGTCAGAGCCATTCCCTGTACACCTTGGGGTGCGACAGGGATGTCCTCTGGCTCCCACATTATTTAACATCTATTTTGACCACGTAGTTCGTGAAGCCTTCAATAGCTGTACCGGGGGAATCTCCATATGGTACAGATATAATGGGAGGCTAATCGATGCCCGGGTGCGGTCAAGGGATGGCTCCCTATTGCTCAACCACGTTATGTATGCTGATGACTTGGTAATAGCTGCTCAGTCAGAGGAGGAGTTGGAGACGCTGCTGTTGAGACTGGAGCGTGCCACTAAGAGGTGGGGCCTTACCATCAGCCCCACCAAAACTAAGCACCTGCCTGGGTATTTTGTACCATCGGACACTCCACCCCCACAACTCCCAATCGGTGATGGGGCAGTTGTGGAGAGAGTGGAGAGTTTCCCATACCTGGGCAGTGTGCTTATGACTGGCTCCAGTTTAACAGCAGAGGTCTCACTCCGAATCAGTCGAGCGGCAATATCTTTTCATCGGTTGCGTAACGCTGTGTGGAAGCTACCTGGTCTGTCGCTCCGCACTAAGCTTCAGGTCTTCTCGGCCACGGTCATTCCCTCCCTTCTCTACGCTTGCGAAACGTGGACCCCCCTAATGGAACATCTTCGCCGGTTAGAAACATTTAGGCTGACCTGCCTACGATCCATCCTGGGTTTAACCAGACTGGATTGTGTGAGGAGCTCACAAATCCTTGAAAGATCTGGGCAGGGTCCCATCGGTGAGCTCCTCCGGCAGGCAAGGCTGCGATGGCTGGGTCATGTAGCCCGCATGCCCAGCCACCGCATGCCGAAACAGCTTTTGTTTGGCCGGATTGAGGGGGCTAAGCGGGCGCGGCACGGGCTAGAGAAGAGATGGAGTGATGTGGTACAGGAGGACGTGGAGCTGAGTGGACTTGCCGATGACTGGTACCAGCGGTGTCAAGATCGGCCTCTGTGGAGGAGGCTCGTGAAGGATGCTACTGGGCAGTTGGAGGCAGTCGCCCTCCAACAACAACGGAGGGCGGAGGAGCGACGCTCACAACAGCGAGCGGAGCGCCGGGTGGCTAAAGCACAGCAGGTTGGCACAGTAGGGGGCACAGGTGGTGCATCAGCCAGTCATCTCAGTCAGTCGACCCGTGGCACCTGGGTCTGCCCCGTGACCTCCTGCCAGCGGGCGTTCGACACTTCACGTGGCCTCAGGGTGCACATAGCCTGGCACAAGCGTCGTGGTGACGTCACCGCCACTTAGTGGCGAATGGCGGTTGTTGTTGTTGTTGTTGTGTCTGTGTGTGTGTGTCTGTGTGTGTGTGTGTTTCTGTGTGTGTCTCTGTGTGTGTTTCTGTGTGTGTTTCTGTGTGTTTCTGTGTGTCTCTGTATGTGTCTGTGTGTCTGTATATATGTGTCTGTGTGTGTCTGTGTGTGTCACTGTGTGTGTGTGTGGGGAGCGGTAGTGTAGCGGTTAGCGCTACGCTGCGCTATGAACCTGGCGACCCGGGTTCGATTCCCGCTCACGGCCAACACCACCGGTGACGATTCTCTGAACCGGTCATGGGCCTCCCTTAGGTCGACTCAGCCTCAAATGAGTACCTGGTGCGGTGTGTGTAGTAAACATCGCTAGCACTGGGGAGACAAAGGCGGCCGGGCGTGTTGCTGGCCACCCACCCCCTCGTGTGCCACAGTTTCGGTCTTCATAGGTGCTGCTCGCTAACAGCACTTGCCCCTACAGTCTGTTACAGGCTACACGGGGGATCTTTGTCTGTGTTGTCATTCACACTCCGCGCGGCGTTTCCGCGCCGTCACGTGACCGGCGCGCGCGTGCGTCACGCCGCTGGGTGACGTCAGCGGCACGCGATGTTCCCAGCGAGCGAGGTGGGAGGGGTGGTGAGGGAGGGGTGACGTCACAGACCATGTAAGGTGGTCTCGTCAGTAAACAGGGATCACGTGATCACGTGTCAATAACAACACACGCA